TCCCTAGAAAAGTGAAGTAAATGTGTGTGTGTGTGTGTATGTGTGTGTGTCTGTGTGAGTGTGTGTGTGTTGCATTACACAGGGGCAGGCAGAGGACAAGTAGACAGAGTAGAAGGAGCCAAGGGTTTCCAGTGGTAATTCCATTGATTCATGTTAGGAGCAAAAACATGGCTTGGAATGAGAGTTGTTCCCCCTGATTCATGGCACCTTAGGAGCAAGCAAATTGATACCAACTGTATTAATCAGCTTTCTGCCACTGTGACAAAATATCTGAGAAAATAAACCTAAAGGAGGACAGATTTATTTTGGCTTGTGTGGTTTCAGAGGTTTCAGTGCCTGAAATTGGCTCCATTGGTTCTGAGGCTGGGGTAAGACAGAGCATCATGGTGGGGATCATGTGGCAGAGCAGAACTGCTCACCTTGTGGCAGTTAGGAAGTGGGGGGGGGGAGAGGAAGGGGCTGGGGACAAAATATCCCCTCCAAAGGCAAACCCTGAGTGACCTGCTTTCTCCAACTGGGCTCCACCTCCTAGTTTTATAGCATAATGGAAGGGTCAGAACCCTTGTGATCCAATCACTTCCCAAAGCCCCTACCTTAACATTGCTACACTGGGGACCAAGCCTTCAATTCACAAGCTACTGGGGGACACTTAAGGTCCAACCCATAGTACCACCAGTCCCTGCCTTTCTGCACTACTGACTTTAGAATCCTCTTTCCAAAGTGGAACACTGATAGGACACTAATGGCCCTACTGATAAGGCCCAACCAGGCAGGGAATGAGAGAAAGAAAGTGAGATAGTTGTTATGAAAAATATTTCCAATGAAAATAGTTCCTAATGCATAACTGACCAAAGATGCTGATAAGCATGTGAATAGAATTAATAGTCATTTGTTATGCACTTCACACTGAAAGTTTGTCATGAGAATTCATTTCCTGGAAAGGCCTATGATACAATCACCTAAAAAGTTCACAGTGGGATTAATAAACATAATTCAAAAGCATTTTTAAAGTAAATTAGCAGGCCCCAAATGCTTATTACTTTACCTGAGGTTATTTGAAAGAAACATACTCTCTCATGGGAGAACTGGTCAAGGACATATGAGGAAACCATTCCCTCTCTTTGGAGTCTAAGTAAGAGTGACCAGCCTTTGTCTCCATCCCAGATAGCAGGGAGGTCTCTCCCAAGCTGAGACTGTTGGTTTTTCCTGGTGAACTGAGACAAAGGAAGACTATTTCCTCCCTCTTTAAGAGGTCTCCCACTCCCACGTCCTGTGACATCCTCTAGTTTCATTGGAATTTTGACCCCACTTGATTTAAAATTTAATAGTAAAATTACAGAGGCAGGCTATCCTCCAGGATAGGAAGAAATGTCCCCCGCTCCACTGGCATTTGAAGAGGCTGGGAAGCACCTGGAGTAGAAATTTTTCCTGTCTTTATGCTAGTAGCTGGTCTCTGCCACTCCACTGACAGCACACCCCATGCCAAGGGTGTGCTCCCAACGAACATATCATCTTGCCTATTTTCAGTCCTGCTTGTTGGGGATGCCATACCAGGATGCAGCACAGTGGTCCCAATCAATGAATTATCTCCTTGGGTGGTGTGTCATTAAAAGATGGCACTCCTTGTCACGGACATTTTAATCTAATATTGATTTGGCCATGTATGTTAGTGCCTTAGGAGGTTCCCTGGAAGTATGTTCCAGGATGGATTTTTTTTAGGCAGTGTTGCCAGAAAAACTGATAAGCCAATGAGAAGACAGGGATAGGGAGGGAGACAGGCTAGGTAGGATGCTTAACAACACAGTCCCATGAATGACGACTGACTCAGGGATGCAGGGGAACTGAGGCATGGAAGGACACTGTCCCAATTAGGGATGAGAGTGCTGGAGCATTTGTTCCCGTGTACCTGTTCCTGGTTAAGGGCTGCCTCTGTGACAGACATTTCCATGTATTATTGATGACAGCATTCAAAGACAGTTCCAGCAACCTGAGGACCATGCCCATCAAATAGACAGATGCCTAGTGCTGGGAGAGAAAGTGCAATCAGATGCCAGTGCAGAGAGGTAATCAAAGGACCTGGGAGACCTGATGGAGCCCTGGGCACAGTCTGCTATAGGCTGACATTGAACTGAACTCAACTTTACTGCAGTGTTTAATTCTTCCATCAAACCAGACCCATCATAGTCTTTTAAAGTGAAATCTACTATGCTGTTCATGACACAAATGTGAAAGCTAAGCCAAGATGAAAACCTTGGTCTGAGGTTCAACAAGTAGAAAATCAGGGAGCTGGAGTTTGAATCCAAGTCTAGGAACCCACTGGCCCAAACTCTATTAATTATTTTTACTTATTATACTATGTACAAATAAATTTAGGAAATTCTAGGTTTTAAGTTATCTGCCCCTTGAATCTTGAACAATTCACCAGATGAATTCCCATATTTTCATGAAAACGACAACTGTTTTCCTAGGTTATGTAACAACTTTTTGCACATACCCAAGGTGACTAAATGTCTGTAGCCACGTTGCATGGCTCTAGAGAGAAAACCGGTGTATGCACAATATAAATTCATGACCTTTTAGTCTTTATAGTGTGACAAAAAATTAAATTTGCATTATAGAGGTATCTTCATATAAAAAGCAAAATGAATATGAAATTACATGCTCAATCTTAAGAGGGATAGAATCTTTAAATTTGGGAGGCATCTTTATTTATTGCTTATGAGGTATATGTATATTTTTTTAAGATTGTGGCCAGTAGCTATCAATCTATACTCTATAATTCATTTAATTCCTGTTTTCTGACATATAAACATAATTACTGAGAGCAGTCAATTTGTTCCCATTTGATAAGCAGCTAAAATAAGAATAGCAGATTGCACCACCTGAGTTTTAAAGACATGAAAGATGTTTACTATGGTGCTACCAAAAGCTCCTCTGGCTTCTAGAAGAAGAATCACTTCCGTTCCTGCTTCTCATGCCAGCGACTGAGCTTTGTCTGTTTGCTGGGCTGGATTTGGTTTTCAAACAGGCTGCTGCAAACATCTGACAGAATCCTGGTATGGAAACTAGAAATGTTCTGGAATTCAGGTCCTGCCACATGAGGTCACTCATAGGAGACTACCTTGCACAATTCCTTCTCCACTGGAGCACCGTGGGCAGAGTCCTCCATCAGGGCTTGGTAATGTGATATTGTAGTTGGTATTTCAATTTTTCAAGTATACTTGTATCTGTGTCCTTTGCTATTGCACCCTGGGGCAGACACATCCTAAGGTGATCTTAATGACCCATGCCCTTGTGTAACATCTTAGGTCTAGTGTTGGGAGAGACTTGCTTATAACCATTAGAATATGGCAAGGATGATGGCTGTCACTCACTTGGTTCCATTGTAAGACTCTATCTTAGCAGACTGGAGAGAAAGAGACTGCTCTATGGGCCTTGAAGCAGTGAGCTGCCTCCATATGAATTTCCTATGGACAGGGCCAAACACCAAAGGAAGAGGATCTCAGTCCTACAAACTGATGCTGGCCTTAGATCAGGTTCATGTTCTCATTTCCCCAGTGTTGAAGATTAAACACCCAAGACAGAAAGCAAGTTTTATTTAAGAAAAAGAAGTGGGACCCAGAGCTGTGTGCCCAAGGGAGGGGGTGTGTCTTGCTCTTTTATAGACTTCCTGAATCCCTCACCTTCTCTTTCTTCTCCGTGTACATGCCTAAGGCCAGGAAGGAGCCCCACAGGGGGTAATTGATCCAGATGCAGAGGTCTTAGCAACCTGTTGAGCTGGGAAGTGCAATCCCAGAGGTTGGCTGTTAGCAACCTAGTGAAAACCAGCCATCCTCCTCTCTGGACCCTCATCATTCATTACCTACACTGACCAGCAGGCCTTCAACCCCCTGACTCAGTTTGTTCAGAAATGTGACATTTCCTGTCCCCCCCCCAGGGCCTTACACAGACACAGGAACTAACCTCAGAAGTCAAATCCAAGTTGAGATGAGACCCAGCTCCTGCCAACATTTTGATTGCAGCCTGTGAGGCCCTGAGCAGGGAACTAACCCAACTGCTCAAACTCCCAACTTAACAGAAATCATGATAATGTGGGTTGTTTCCAACTGCTCAGTTTATAGCAATTTTTTACCCAAGAATAAAAACCTGTTACATCTTCCCACACTAATGCTGGGTTTCACCATGTGATTTACTGTGGTCAATGGGAATGGGGAGAACTAGGAACCCAAGCCATGGCTTGACAGAGTAGTTCTGCATTCTCTTTTCAACTCTTGAAACTGCCACAAAAACACATCTGGGGTAGGTTGCTGGAGGGATGTGAGGAATGTTGGGAGGAGGAGAGATGTGAGAGACATTTGTCTGCTCTGGCTCCATTTTGGATCCGTCAGACTCCAGCCATCCTGCAAGCTAACCACAGACACACAACACAAGGGATCCTACCAGGTATCAGCAAAGCCAAGATCAGATGGGCAGAATAGCCAGACAACCCACAGACTATAAATAGTAAGTGTTGTCACTTTGCCACTAAGTTTTGAGGTGCTTTGTTATGGAACATTTTTAGCAATAGATAATTACTACCAGAACCCAGCAATTAAAGCTGAGGGACACATTCAGAGTTTACATGCATATATGATTGCCTATTCGATTTTTTTTTAAATCAAAGGCTTAAAAACATAGCAGGTATGATGTTTCCCCCTTGAAGTCCCAGCAGCTCAGGAGGCTGAGGCACGAGGATTGCAAGTTCAAAGCCAGCTTCAACAACTTAGTCAGACCCTAAGCAATTTAGCGAGACCCTATCTCAAAAATAAAATATAAAAAGGGCTGAAGGTGTGGCTCAGTGGTTAAGTACCCCTGGATTCAATCCCTGGTTCCCCTGCCCATCTCTCCCCCCCCACCAAAAAAAAGACTTAAAAACATAATAAGAGAGATTGGAGAAGACATTGAGAGAAAGGAGAGGAGCATTACTATAAACTCTTGATAAAAGAGGAATTATTTTCCAGTAACTTGAAAATACATTTTTAATTTTCTTTAGCATTTACAGAGCATATTTAAGGAATAGCAAAAATAACAGTTGCTTGCATCTTTTGCATCCTTATATAGAGGCATTTCCTTTCTTTTCTCTTCAGGGTCTCCAACTCTGGTCAAGTTAAAATCAACTGTTCAAGTAGGAGAGTCGGGAGGTTTGATACGATCAGGAATCCTGTGCAGAGAAGTATATCACCCCCTGCCTTCCATGCCCATGCACACCATTATAGAATTACAAACACACCATCTGAAAACACACAGGTGACCTGTAGGAAACATAATTAATAGTCTGTTCCTTAGATGGGAGTGGGGTTGAGGGTTTGCAGGACAGGAGGGATCTGGCTAGGAGGTGCTGGTGCAACAACAACAATAACAACAAAAATACCATCTTAGAGACTAAAGTGGAGGAAGGCACATTGAGAGTGTCTTTGCATTCTGCAGGGACAAGTCTTTTTGTCTTGGACCCAGGGCCATCCAGAAAACAGATGCTGCTCTGGGCAACAAGAGATTAGGGGCTTTGCTTCCTCTCAGAGGATGGCTCCATTCTTTTTGATCCTCACCAACAGCCCACTGGGAACAACAAAATACAGGAAGCAGTATAATTCAGTCTTGATCCACTAAATGTCAGTAAGCAAAATGCCCTCAAAAGATTTTTCTTTTACGTGTTTTTTGTTTCCCAGTTTGGAAGAGTAAAATGATGAAAATTTTCCATGGCCTAATTATCAAAGGGTGTACTAATTATCAACTGGTGTACCTTGCAGTGTTTCTTTTTTAATCTAGCTTAATGCAAGCATATTCAAATCTGCCTGCATTTGTCCATTTAAATTTCACATATATTTCTTATAAAATTTCCATTGTCAGACAAAATAAGCCTGAGGCTATGGTTGCAAGACTGAGAAGAAAACAGCCCCCAGGGAAGACCCACATTTACTTAAAGGCAGATAAGACTGCACTTGGCAGGTGGGGGAGCTGGAGGATTAGGTTAGTGGAAGACCATGTACTTAGCATGCTCCATGCCCTGGCTTCAATCCCCAGCACTGAAACAAACAAAACAGTAACAACTGCTTCTTGGAGGTATGTGATGTTTTTAGAATGCCTCAGAGGACCCTGTCTTAAGCCTTCCACCAACATGTTCCTGGGGAGTCTTGGGGGTGCTTCTGCTATTGTTCTAAGTGGTCAACTTGCTAGGATCTGGCCAGCTGCTTCCAGGAGACCCAGCAGCAGGAATCACCCAAGTTTCTGGAACTACCCAGAAACTAACTTGACCTTGCCAATTGCTCCTCTCAGTGAATGGCTTGCTGGGCATTGCTAGACCTGGTGGAATCACTTCAAAGCACAGTTTTTATTTGGGATTTATCCCATTTCCTTGGAAGATCTTTTTTCTTTAACAACTTGGGATTTTCTTTCTGAGTCCTAATGTTTATTCACTTCCCTCAGTGTCAAAGTAATGCTGTGCTCATACAAACAAACACTTTACATGTTCTCTCATGACACAAGGAACCCTACGCCAGCTCCATTTCCTCCCAATTCACTAGAGTATGGAGTAAACACAGAGAACAGGGAGAAGAGGGTTTTTGCTAAACCTTAACAGCCATTCACAAGCCTTATGTTCTTTTTTAGAATCCTGACTCTAATGGAACTTGAAAAGTAGGAACTAAATCATGGGTTAAGAATATCATTTTATAAGTAACCTTCATAGTCTGATTTAAAAGTATTGTGGCCTTAAAGCATTTCTTCCTCTCAGTTTGTTATTTCTGGTACACACCTGTCTCTATTTACTTTGCAGAACAGTTCTTCACATATCTGCAAAAGTTTCAAGCCTCCACCCAGACTTCTTCGTTGTTTGTCAAAATGGCAAGTTAGCCACAATTTTCTATAAAGATAAAGCTTCTGTCTTTGTTCAGGGGAAACAAAGGTAAGCTATCTCCAAATAACAATATTTAAACAGTTGAATAATTGCTACAGCATGCTTTTGTTATTTTAAACATAGTAGCTGGATACAACGCAAAGAAAGCTTCACATTATAATAATAAAGAAAAAGGGCAGCTTCTCACTCGTTAGAGGAGTCACATTCAGATTCCATTACAGTGGAGTTCATCTACTTTCAGGATACAATCAATGGACTATACATATTTAAGAATTTTTTATGTGATTAGTCAAATGCTGCATATGTATAGTGAAAAAAAAAACACCTAGTGCATCCTCATCTACTGTGACTTTAGGGTGTGTGATCTTCATTTTTAACAACCACCACTGCCCATGGACCCACAGGACATGTACGTTGGCAATATCCATCCGTCACCCCATCAAAATCATAAAATCCTTCCTGTCCCTCCGGCAAATCTTGAAGTAACATCATAGCAGGACTGTGATCAACCATAACAGTCATTTTTTACAATGTGCATTTTAACTGTAATGACACACATAAGAATGACTTCATCACAAAGTTGTTTCCCTGAGACATTTGTGTCTTCCCATCAATATGAAAAACAGCATTCAAGGGTAAGCATACATCAGCAGCACATTTCAATATTGGAAAAATAATCTGTCCAAAATTATCTCACTTTCCATCACAGGATAATTAATACAATCTGAACAATATCATAAAGGTATACACAAAATACACTTATTATCACATTTAGTTGTTGAACAGGAAGCATTTCATGTTTGGACAGAATTCTACCTAGAAGACAAGTCCTAAGCTTTCCTTGCTTAGGAGCCCCTTGTAGCTGTATCTCTAGGGTACTGGGAAGCTATCTCAGCCCAGTTTGCTTTGTGTTGCCTGTCCAGTTGATCCGATGCTCGTGAGTACCACCACCATACAAACAAACAAACAGAAAAACAAAGGTAAACAATGAAAGTTCCTTTAGAAAAAAATTTCCTGCCTTCAGACAAAAGCTGAAGGCATTCCTATAGGAACCCAGCATATTTACTGTGCCTGATTCTTCATCATTCTCCCAACATATCCTCCAGAAAGAGAGAAAAAGCAATAAACAAATTTTGCAACTTAGCAAATCAAAAAGAGCAATGTGGGTGCTATGCATATTAACACTGATAGAATTGACTGACCAATAAACATTATTGTCTTCACATATCTTAAATATGAGTGGCAATTAATTGATGGCATTGCAGGAATTGTACATAATCTACCAGTCCTGTGTTGCTTGTGAATATCAAAATTTCATAGTATTTAATGAGTTAGAGATGGTACTATTTGGAAGACCTTAACTCTTAATTAATTATATCATTTGAGTATATTTTATAACAGCATTTCTTAATTAGGCTCTGTTTTAGAATGCCCACACTGGGCACACTGCCCAGTCCCACACCAGCAGCATTTCTCCCGGTTTCTTGACATTCATCCACAGGCAGTGGGCCCAAGTGTCCATGTCACTCAGTATTCCTGAGATCTCCATTTAAGGACTACACATGTGGAACAAGACAAAGTTAGAAACCAGCAAGCATATATCCTGCTGCAGGCAGTTCCCTGAGAACGGAACATTTTGCTTTTAAAAAGCAAATTAAGGTTTCAAGCACAGACAATCAGATAGAGCTGGTGGATCAAAACATAATTAACAGAAGCACTTGTGTATCAAAACTTATCTGAAGAGACTGATTCAAATTCTATCCTCTGCAAGTATTTGGTCACTGGGAATTAGAGAGATTTAATGAATTCACAGGGATTTCACTGCACAACAAATCATTAAAAATTATATGAGAGGAAAAAAAAAAACTAAATGCAATCAAGAAAAGATTATGAAGCCTATTAAGTAAGCTCAAGTAACAACTTCTTTGCACCAGAAGACCGTTTTGTGGATCAAAGGAAATGACCATTCTTGCTTTATTATGAGGGGAGATGCTTCTTGGCTGAAGGTTGGAACGTGAGGATGTGGCTCCACGTGCAAATGGTCCCCTTGCCAGTGCCCAATATTCTTAGAGACCTGGTCATGCAACTGGGAAAATGTGAATGCAGTCATTGTGGTAGCTTAAGGGAAAATTCAAACAGAGCACATTCATTATTTTAGTAAAACAGTACATCTATCAGCATGGTTGATGAGCCTGAAACCCTGTTGAAAAAGACATTTATTCGCTTATTTGTGTTAACTCTGACAGGCTTCTAGCATAATAAATGGAATACCTGTGGCCTAAAAGAAACATATTGCTCCCTTTCTAATCAATAAGGTCAACTGCATGCATTTTAAAACACCTTAAATGAATCATGTGTTTCTCTCACCAAGGTCTGATTTCTGAATACTATTCTTTTCTAAACTGTGTTTGCATATATTGCCATTCGAGTAAGAACCTGATTGCTTAAACTTTGACCCCACAGCTTCTGTGACAATTAGAATTTATGCCCCTCTAGGCCTGTGCCTCCTGTAAAATGAAATGTGCCCCTTCCCGCATATTAAAAAATAAAAAGAATGATAATAAAGGGTCACATTAAGTTGAAACATATACAAATTTGCCTGGGCAAATCATTAAAATTTGTGTTTTCCATGTGTATTTCACATATGGATGGAATTAGTTTGAAAGCTGAAAGTGAAAGTTTTTGGTACCGTATTTTTATCTACTATTTAAAAATTAGTGTTTTAGTTATTAATTTGGCTTGACAAAAAAAGATTTTGTTGGCAATTTTCAAAGGCACTGCTGCATGATTAAAAGGCATTTGAACATAATTTAAGTGTTAAACATACTAATTGAAAAATAGTATAGATTTCCATTAGGCGATTTTACATATCCAAAAGGTCAGATTAGGTTTCAACAACTGTAAATGCATTGAAAAATCATACTAAATCATACTATTCAAACTATTCAGTCATACTAAAAATATATCAGTGCAGTTAAAGAGAACAGAACTCAAGTAAATAAAAAGTACAATTTCAGCTTCCAGATTACTAATTATATAGAATGGATTGTACTTTAAGTAGGTAGAAGTGCAATTTGATTTGGCAATATGGGATTTCTTGACATTACAACAAAATTTTAAGCCAGCTGCAGAGAAGGAGTTTTAACTCAATAAGATTAAACTCTCATCATAAATTCTTCCTACATAGAGATGGGACACTGGCATTCTGATTTTTCTTTCTTTGGGCAGTTTCAAGGAGTAGAGAAGGAATTTGTGTTTATTATATAACTTGTTTTCATTTCAAATTATCAAACAATAAACATTTACTTAAAATGCAGATAATTTTAATAAAATGGACTTAGAAATATTGCTTCTGCTTCATAGATTCTATGAACTCCTCAAAGTGCTCTAAAAACACTATAAGTTTGATTAGCAGCAAAGCATTAGTCTAATCAAAACCTCCCTCCCTCCCTCCCCTAGATCTATATACATATGCACACACCATACATCCACGTATTCTATTACTCTAACTGAAATCTGACAATTTGCATTATGTCCAGGTGCTGTGCAAGGTTTTTAAATACTGTCTACACTGTGTCATGGCTCAAGATCACTAGCACCCAAGTGGTTAAGAGAAAACAAATTCTTTCATTAAAAAAAATCACATATTTTAAATTTCTTTTTTAAGATTAAAAAAAATTAGAGGATACCATGAATCAATCACCCAATATATCATTCTAGGTCCTATAGTTTTGTTTATCTAAAATTATTTTTTATATATGAAAGGCTAGATGCCTTTCAACATAGTTTCAGCCATCCTGAGTATAAAATGTTCCTTTGAAAAATATGTCATTTTTTTTTTCCAACTCAGAGGAAAGTTCTGTCTGTGACAGGGGGTTCCCCCACACAGATGACTTTTGCAGCATTTTCTTCCAGGAGCAACATTGACAGCCCTGTCATCTTGTATATAATACGTACTGGGAATGGAGCCCCCCACCCAAGAGCTATAGCTATCATACATCCCACACAGGCCCTGCAGAAGAAAGGTGCTCCTGGCCCCATGGCATTTTGGTCTCTCCCCTTCCACACCCTTCTAGCAAAATCCGGTCCTCAGCATCTTGTTGTAGTAGCTGATGTCCAGAACTTGAACTTTACTGGGAAAAGTAAGTTCATTCAAAGTGCAACATTTTCATCTTTTGGTTGGGTGATTCTTCGTCCCCCAAGGATAGGAGTGATACCTAGAAGATTCCCAAATAGAAAGAGTTCTCTGTAAACACAAATATTTAGTTCACACATTCAGTTTCAAAAGCTATAAGGCACATAAGTAAATAAATCACAATAAATTTTAAAAAGTATATTATCAGGATGGGAACATTTATAAAAAGCTGTCTTTTACTGAAACTCAGTGCTAACAGGGTCTTTCTCAAATTATGAATTCAGTAGGAATTAAAAATACTCTAGAGTGGAAAAATAAACGCCAATTCCAAGTAGCTTGTACATTTGAATGCTGTGTGCATTCAAATGACTATTTTACATGTTCATCAGTCATGAAGAAATAAAGAAATGTAAGCCGATTCAATGTAGATTGTTTTCCTCTTGAATGTATTTCCCAATGCAATATTTATTATTTAAAAAACATAATGTCAGTATGCATCTAAGTATATTTAAAAAGAAGAGAGGCTCGCCATCTAGTCAATCACAGAACTCACAGTTTTACAAACAAGGGTGAAATTGAGGCCTACTAGTGAGAATGAGGCAAAGGACAGGTCGCTGATTTTCAAGGAAAAAGAAATGGGGTGATGGCACTTCCCCATCAGTGGGTGGGTGGCTAACACCTCTGGGGAGGGGAAGGATCACACTTGCCAACACAAGCAATCACTCCCTGAGAAGCTCTTTTCCTGCCTTTTGGTCATGTAGGCAAGATAAGAGGAAGAGCGGGCATGAGAAAAAAGGAAACCTAAATCTGTAAAGGGGAAATGCATCCCCACTCCCATACACAAACACCAGCTCTGGGTCCCCTCTTCTCTGGAAGAGTCTCCCCCTCCCCCATTTCTGTCTCTTAAAATTTTGCTTTCTACCCTTGCCTCGGCATTTCTCAGGTGTTTCATATTCAACACAGGAGGGGAGGAGGACCTGATTCTGATTTTCAAAGCCGGTATCACTAAGATATAGCCTTCTGGTAAGGAAACTAAATGTCTACGAATGTAAAATATCATTAATCATACAGCCCCGCCAATGATCTGGAAGAGGCCCTGTCTTGGAAACAGTTATGAGGCTGGCCGAGCCTGTTTGGGCCTTCTTTCATTTTCTTCACATTGCTTCTGCCTCTCAACTCTGTCCTCATTGCCCTTTCCAGAATCCCAGAAATAAGGAATCCCTCATTTTGGTCAGGGGGTCCTTGCTGCTACTTCCATTTCTATTACCATTGTCTTTTCCTAATGCAATATTTTGTATCTAAGATATTCTTTCTAACCAACTGCCAAAGCAGTCTCCCCATCATTTATTTGAGTAGTTCCAGAAGTCTTCCCCAAAGATAGCTAACAGACAGATAGTGACTTCACCCTGAGACTTGCAGTCTGAGAACGGCACCTCTCTATTCTTTTCCCTAATTAAATATAAGCCCTACAGTCTAAGCTGAAATATGTGCCACATCACCATTAACAGTTTGGGGTTTGGCTGGATGATCTGTGTATAAGCTTAAATTGCAAACTTGAATAATAAAAGTTATTATGTATGTTGCTCTCTCCGGATGGTGCTTAACCAAGATGATTTAACAATGTTTTTTGATGATGATGATGACGATGACAATTAAGATGTTAACAATGACAATGTGAAGAACAGCACATCTGGGTAGACCCTGGTGGAGGAGTAAAACCATTCCCAACTGGCACAGCTTTTCTCAACTTGTGTTCTATGCAAATGAGGAGGAAAACACCGGAGTAAACAAACAAGGTCATCAGGTGTCTTTCCTATAGGATGCCTCAGGTCTTTAATAGAGTAATGAGGATCAATATTCTCCAAAAATGGAAACTTCTACATTCCAAGTTTCCAAAATATATTTGGTCATGAGACTTTATTTTTCATGGAATATGTGATATCTTTGGTAATATTGGTTATTCCATGGAACCTTTATTTAGGAAAAATATACTCCAGTGATTCTAAATACAGAATCTACATATTTCTTTATGTCCTGAGACATTTAACGTTCTCCACCTTTTGACTGAAAAGATCATGACAGCACCCACTATTTTGATTTATATTTGGAGTAATGCATGTTTCTGGATTGTACATTATTAGGTACTTCTAAGTGAAGCCTGAACTATCTCTTAAGAATTGATTTGGGTGGCACACACCCATAATCCCAGAGGCTTGGGAGGCTGAGTCAGGAAGATTGTAAATTCAAAGCCAGCCTCAGCAAAAGCAAGGTGCTAAGCAACTCAGTGAGACACTGTCTCTAAATAAAATACAAAATAAGGCTGAAGATGTGGTCCAGTAGGTGAGTGGCCCCGAGTTCAATCCCCAGTACCAAAGAGAGAGAGAGAGAGAGAGAATTTATCTGGGATACCTGTAAACTAGTAGTGGTTTGGGGGACACCAAGGGCTCTTGCTTACCATTAAACTGAAGTTTTTTCCCAAGATCTATCATTGCTATTAGAAACCAAAAAAGTGGGGCTGGGTGCTCACCTAGCATGCATGAGGCACTGGGTTCGATTCTCAGCACCACATAAAAGTAAAATAAAGATATTGTGTCCACCAAAAAAAAAAAAAAAGATATTAAAAAAAAAGAAACCAAAAAAGTGAATATCATGAACTCATGGATTTTAAAAAAATTAATATCTATTTTTAACATATACTAATTATACATACTAATGTGGATTTTTAAATGATTCATATTCTTTTGGGGAATCTTATAAAATTTTTGATGTCCTGTCCAATTTGTGCTATTTGAACTTCACTGCTCAAATGTGCCTTCATATTCTATTTAAAATTCTAAATGTGACTATGAACAGTTTTTTGCCTTTGTTATTAGGAATCTTATTATCTGTTCATCATAAGGAAATTTGCAACACCTTTTAAGAAAGTAATATATCTCCAGAACTAGATTTTTTAAAGACTTAATGAGAGTCAAACTAAAAAAAGAGTGATATATTTGTTGTTTTTTGTTGTTATTACAAAAAAGACAGTGTTTAAAGGAGCAAATAAGAGCTCTTATAAGAGCTTCCTTAAATTTACACACCTAGTTTTTCATTAGTGTTTAGTTGATTTTCTGCAAAAATATGAGAACATTTCTTGCCCTTGATCTGAGTCGCTGAGGAAATGCAGATAAAATGACAACAGTCACCTTTACCCCACTACAAGCCAAGGGCACTTGAAATAATAAGATGCTGAGTGTTGGAAAACAGAGACATTCATGTTATCCACAGAAGACTGGATAAAGTCTGCCCTCCAGCAGAAAGGGAAAATCCAGAAACCTCTCCAGGGGTGTTGGAAGAAGAGTGATTGCAGAGATGGTAATTTCTATTAACAATAAATCTTTGGAAGATGAGAATTACTCATCATTTCTCTGTAGTTACAAATCACAACAGAACTAAATTTACAAAGGGTGTATTTTGGAAATATATTATCGAGCTAAAAGAGCAAGTAGTTGAATAATCTCATGTGTGATTCATAAGAAAACCTCACTGAAATGAGAGAAGAAAAATAAATACTGGTGACTGAACTAACCTCAAAGAAAATCTAATTTCCTGGTAATTACTGTAACCAGATGTTCCGGGGGCCCTCCTTCTCTTATCATGGTTACTAGTTATCTTTAAGGGAAACTTCTAAAATAATTTAGATACCACAAATAATTTAGATACCACTAAATAGCTTTACTAGCCAGCACAGTGGCCCACACCTGTAATCCCAGCTGCTTGGGAGGCTGAGGCAGGAGGATCCCAAGTTCAAGGTCAGCCTGGGCAACTTAGTGAGACCCTGTCTCAAAATTTTAAAAAAAGGACTGGGGATGTACTTCTGTGATAAAGCACCCCTGGTATCAAAGGACAGTGCCTCATAAAACAACACTGAGCCACTTGGGCTGTGTGTGTGGATGCTTGTGATCAATCTGATGATTCAGCTATGGGCAGGTCCTTGGAAAGTCAAGAGACAGCTCAGTAGGGTAGATATTGTCACTGTCTATACCCTCTCATCCATGCCACTTCAAAACATACTGGCTGAATCCCTAGTGGCCAGTACCTGATTCCTCTCCTTGAGGATTTCTCTGGCCTCTACACCTTTCTTTGACCACCTTTAAAAAGGCCAGAAACACCAGGGGATCAACACTTGCTGGGAAAGGCCTCAAATAATGACTGGTGGAAACTGGAGAATAAATACCCCAACTCCCTCACCCTGGGAGTGGGAAAACTCTGACATCTGTTCTCTTTCTGCATTGGCTCTCAGATTTCTTCCATGGGATTGAGCACCAGCCAATGAAAACCTGCTTGATAATGACACCTGTATTAAATAACTTCTTTATCCCATGCTAGTGGGATGGGATAAATGAATGAAAACCTGCTTGATAATGACACCTGTATTAAATAACTTCTTTATCCCATACTAGGGTTTCCGGAATCACCTCTCAAATAAACTAACTATACTCAAATTGTTGCATCAACGCTGTGCCTAATAGTAAAACTACAGGAATTCAGGACTAGATTTAAATTGATATAATGGAGTGTATTTTAAGAGAACAGATAATGGTTATATTAAGATAATATGCAGTCCCTTTCTGATGGAGGGCAGTCCCAGTAAACTGACGTTTCTTATTTAGAGCGAGCAAATGGTAAAACAAAACACAGAGGGACTGCATTTAAACCCAACTTAAATGTACCTGAAGGGATTCTTTATTTAGTTGCATTTCCCACACCTAGTCTTCTATGCAAATAATGGTATATTTCAAAATGATGGAAACTCGGGTTTCTAGCTCTTCTATAGAATGAGACAAATATTAATTTTAAAAATCTAGAAATGCTTTTCCATTCAATTATATTTGTTATTCTTATATAAGTCATTTACTAGGAAGATCACTTTTTGATTCAAAAGAGAACACAGGAGCTGTGTCCATACAGAAGATATGCAACATGTATTTTACCTGTGTAGGTATTTAGTCTTGGCAAAGATATTTTATACAAATATCTAAAATAGAGGTTCAAAAAGAAAAAAAAAACTTCTGAAATGAAGGGCTAGAGAAAACCCACATCTAATATCTGATGATCTCATTTCATCTTTCACATTTGAAATCAAACTCTAGATCTCACCTGTTAGATGTAAAATTGTAATAGCCACTTTCCTCTAGGACTTCTTCAATCACACTCTAAAATTGAAAAAAAAAATCAGGTTAGTATCAAATTAAAAGGAACAAAATAAAATCATTCAGAGGCACTGCAAAAACCTCACCTGCATCTGCTCATATGTTATTCCTTCCTCCAAATCAGAGCTGGTGGGTGGACCTGAAATAGATGAATTATAGGAAGTCTGATATTTGGTCTAATTTTCTCAGTCACACTTTATTGGCAATTATGACTTCAAGCGCAGTGAAAATAGGTCAATTTCTTAATGATAAAAATGAGACTTAAAAGTAAATTCCTAAGTGTCTAGGTTTTTGATAGATGCTCTGCTTCTTGTAATAACTGGCTGCTTTGCGTATGGCCATACTGAGATTCAGGAGCATTGCTTACAGCGCAAACTGGCTGGTGAGGTCAGGGCTGTGTTTGTCCATGTTCATGAGTCCAAACATGAACTACCTGATGGGTGAGTTTTCTGATTGAGAGACTCCAATCATCCATAAGGCAAGAAGAGTACATATGTGCTGGCAAGAAAAATAAATTCTTATAGGGAGGCAGAATTAGTGAAAGACCACAAAGACCTGACTATGGCATGTGGCTGCCTGTATGAAAATAACATTAGAGCGGAGGACCTGTATTGATGGTTGGTATGAATATACCAGCAGCACCTTAACCTACCCCATGCTGCCAAGAGCACGGCTGACCAGTTTCTACTTGAACGTATCAACCTATGTGGAGACCTGGGAGTTCCCTGCCCCTCTGGAGGGAGAAAAGAGATCAGGCTGCAGTTGAAGGGGAGGCCTGAAGGTGTGAGTCCTTGCAGTTCATTTTCAAAGCCAAGTTTAAAGGTGCTCCCTGTTCCCTCCCCACAGCACCACAGCTCTGCTGCCTTTGCTCTTGCCAAGCCTGCAGTGACAAGGGTCAAGCCTGCTGTGACAAGGGTCACGCCTGCTCAGCTCTGGGGTGGAGCAACGGGCTGCCCTGGGAGGAGTCCTCAACTCAGTGTCAAGCTTCTGAGAGACTTCCATCAGAGTTCACCCCATCACAGTTGCTAATGGAAGGAGAAGTTTGGCCTGTACATGAACTTACCTGTCCTGGGAGAGGCTTTTAGAAGCAAATGACTCCGCATATTTTTTATCTTGATCTTATGAGCTTCTCAGAAACCATTTTAAATGAAATTCTACCTGCATGGGGATTAGCTTTATCCCAGGAGACTAAGACTAAGGGAAAGTCTGATAATTGATACAGGAAATAATTTGCTCAGGTAACAACATAAGCACAACTAAAGTGAGCATTTTTCCAAATGGAAGAGATGTCAAGTCTCATTTAACTGTAAGAGCTTTAACTTTTGTTCATCTTACTGAGTGATAGAACTATGATTTATTTAGATTCAAAAATTATTCAGGAGTTCTGAAACCTCAGGGTAGCCAGAACTCTTCTTCTAATATGACAAGAATTTACTTATGCTGAGCTCCTACTAATGGCCAGATACTTTTTTAATTTAACTTGATCCTCACTATAACTCCATGACACAGGTATTACTTAAATTTGATATATTTTATTATTTTTATATTATTATTATATTCATCCCCATTTTACAGGAAAGGATACTGAGGTTCAAAGAGCTTCCATAACTTGTTTGAGGTCAGCTTCTAAATAGTGAGGCTGAGATTTGAATCTAGGCATCCAGGTTTGCAGAATCTGTGCCTATGTCATATTACCTCCCTATGTGAAATTTCTGCTAAAAAGGGGAAAAAATTGAATATTTTTGATGTAGATTGTTCAAGTAAGCTTCAACTTTTTCACCATTTTGAATATTTAAGCTTTCACTTTCTACTTTTTATCTCCCTGGATGCTTTGGGGGCATTTTATTTCCCATCATCAGATAAGCAAGAAGAAACAGAAAGAATTCTGAATAACAATTCACCCACACAGATTCTGCTGTTTGTTCATGGTATTAATAAATGATCAAGGAAGCTGCCACACTGGGTAAGATAAATCTCAGGGAATTTCTTGATTCCTACTATATGTCAACTATTATGATAGATAACAAAATAGGCTTTATGTTTTCTTTTCAGTTGAAGGTGATACTTTAGGTTTAGCTGCTGATCCAAATGACATGACTTATGTGTGTGGGTGAAATCCAGATTACCCATGTTGATGACCATTACCTGTCAGGTCATTTGAGGACAGGCTGTTTCCACCCAATGAATGATGTAATAAATGGTAATCTGCCGTAAAGAAGTTTGGCTCGATTGGTTCTGGAGATCCCTGAGATAACTGAAACAGAAAAAAAAGCAAACCTACGTCTTATTTTATATTCAGAAGCAAATGACAGGAGACCTCTGTGTGGTGTTTTCCATTTCCCCATGTCTCTGTGTAGAAAATTTAGTGCTCTGTGGATTTCAATCCCTTGAAAAGAGATAAACATCTTCCTTCCAATAGAACTTATAAATTGGAAGCGGGCACATTACAGTGAAAGCAAGTTAGACAATTCCCTGGTCACATGAAAAAAAATGCACTTTATAGCTTTATGAGAGCAAAAATAAAAATGGATAGAAAAATAATGGCTTGGGCCTGGGACATCAAGATGTTATTTTTAATCAAGTGTAGGAGGAATAAACTCCAATTATTCAACAGAAGAGTATGTTTAGTCCAGATCCCAGCCCTTTCTCATGTTTCTGCTTTGAACAATGCCTTCTTGTTTGACCAAGACAAACCAGTTTCTTATTACGTTTTGCTAAATTACTATTAATTAAGGTTAATCTCCAAACATTAGTTCCTAACACTCTGAAGAAAAGAGTAATTCACCAAAGACAGAATTTATTAGAGCTCCAACAGCTTAATGTCTTCCTATAAAGCTGCATTTTTAAAATGGAATTTTAAGCTATTGATGTTTTTCAACTCCTTTCACCTTTAATTTCAACCAGCACTTGGGATGACCCAATTTTAATACCTGAGTTGAAATATTTTTAAAAGGTCAAATATCAATAAATTAGAGACAAATGGCATAATTTGGACTAAACAATAGTAGTCACTCTGAATTCATACACTCTGTTTGCCAATTAAAATACATTCTTGTTCAATCACTTGAGAAACCTGACAGTATATGGGACGATTAAACAACGCACACCAACCCTACAACCCAGTGATTTCACCCTTAAGGATTTATATAAGAGAAATCAGTACATATATCCGTCAAAAGACAAGGGAAAGGATGTTCATAGTGCCTTATTAATAATAACTAAAAACTGGAAAAAAATCCCAAAGTCCATGGATAGAAGAACAGATATTTCATAATGTGCTCATACAATGGAATTCTGCAAAGCAATAACAAAGAACAAACTATGAATTCTCAAAACAAGGATGAGTGTTGAACAAAAGAAACCAGAAACAAAAGAATACATAGCACCTGGCTTCAGTTATATACATTTTCATAATCAGGTAAAACTAATCAAAGGTGAAAGAAATCAGGATAAAGATTACGTTGTGGCAAGGGAAGGAGCTTAACCAGCAGGAGGCCTCTGTGGGGTAGGAAATGTTCTATATGTTGATGTGGGTTCTATATGGTCACCTGGGCGAACATATATAAATGTGGATTCATATAAATGTCTACAAACTTATGGTGCTGGCTGTATATGTACATCATTGTATGCATCATGCATTTTATGCCTTAATGAAAATATTTTATATAAGCAAGTAATAACTAATTATTCCATCATTGTACTTTGGATACTGCAAATACAAATCATTTATGTGTTTTCTTTTTTTTTTTTTTTAAAGAGAGAGAGAGAGAGAGAGAGAGAGAGAGATTGTTTTTTTTTAATATTTATTTTTTAGTTTTTGGCGGACACAACATCTTTGTTTGTATGTGGTGCTGAGGATCGAACCCGGGCCGCATGCATGCCAGGCGAGCACTTGAGCCACATCCCCAGCCCCAATTTATGTGTTTTCCAGTCTCCATATTACCAAACATCTACGGCACTAGAAGAAAAAATAATTCCAGCCTTTTTTATTCTTGAAATTTTATTTTCCTTACTTTAGTTAATAACCTATTTGTAATATGACAAGACTGTAAGATTGTAGCACACTGTAATGCAGGAGGATCTGACAGTCACATACTGACAAACTTTCTCATCATGCTGTAGGGTGCCTGGAGGTCAGCCCTAAGCATTCTGTGTTTTCCCTACCCGGCGAGCAGGTCATTCCAGCTAAGCCTCTTAATATGTATTATGATGCTGAAAATAATTTCCTGGCATTACCTTTCAAATGACCATAGGGATATTTCTCCTATGCTTGGCACAGGAGTAATTTGGCTGCCTTGAAATGTTCCCCTTCATTACAGAAAGCTTGTTCAATTTAATTAAGAAGTTTATATCTTGAAATCCTAAAGATTTCACACCCAAAAAGCCCCAGAGAAAAGTATATAAAGGGTGGGTGACCTAGAGAGATCAAGGCTGCTATTGTATAAAAAAAAAAAAAAACAAGTTTTATTCATTGATTTTTAAAGCTTAAAGAAAACGTTTTTTGAGGTTTCCAGTCTTATGTCACATTAGCTATCTCCTTTAGCTTTGGAACCTCAAAGAAATGGGCCCATGGATGAAGGCAAAGACTAAAAGCCACTGGCCTTGCATTTGAACCCATGTATGTTTATTTTTATGCGAAGAGCTTCTTATGAACTTCTATTTGTGCTTCAGATTCTAGATACATGTATTCTTGCAGCAAACATTTTGCTCCTTCCTGTGTGTTGGTCAGCGTGTTCTGTATGATATGAGCAGGCTGCAGGCATGATCTGCCTTCTACAAGATCTGTATCTTGACTAGAAGAATAGGTTAACATCTGTGAAATGGTGATACAAGAAATCATGAAGTATGAGACGGTGCGTTCTAGACTTTAAAAGAGGAGGCCACCAGGGTTTGCAGAGGTTCTGTAGAAGGAACATGGAAACCAAGCCTGGATGTGGGTGGGTGGAATGAAGGAAGCAAAGCTGGCAATCCAGGTGAGGGGAGTTTGGGGTAACAGTCAGGCACTGCAGACTGAAGACACAACAATGAGAGGAAAATGACATGAGTCCATTGTTATGGAGTTACAAGGATTCAGAATGAAGGGGGAAGTGACATTCATTAGTTTGGTGAAGTTTTAAAATCAACTACTATGTGCCAAACACCAATCCAAAGAATGAAATAACTCAGTGACGATCAAGTTATCCTCTGGGAGCTTGCTGCCTACTTAGGGGGGAGGTGTGCCTGTAAAATATTTAGTTGGACACGTGTAAAATTGCAACTGTGCTGAATGCCTTGAAGGGCAGGTCTGTGGCTCTAGGAGGTGATGATAGATTTGTTTTATCCAGGAAAGGCTTTCCCAAGGTACCACTTATGCCAAGCACTGAGGTAATAAGTAAGAATGAGTGAAGGATCGGGTGGAAAGAGCATTACAGCCTGGGGAAAGCATGATCAAAGACTGGCGGGACAGCATGGCAGATAAGCAAACTATAGAAAAGGGCTCTCGTGGCTGCTCTGGAGACAGCAAGGGGCAAGAGCAGCACGTGATGGAGAGATAAGCAGGGTTTGGACCAAATGGGAGTGGAAATAACATGGAGAGGATTTTTGTATTCTATTAAATGATCCTCCAAAGGGTTTTCTGTGATATGTGTGTGTGTGTGTGTGTGTGTGTGTGTGTGTGTGAGAGAGAGAGAGAGAGAGAGATTGAGAGAGAGAGAGAGAGTATGTGAGAGAGAAAGAGGTGGGGGAGATGGTCTGCTTTGAAAGAATCACCCTTGATGCAATGCAATGAGCATAGTGGTTGGATTGGGGCTGGGAGAGCAGGGTGAATGCAGACACACTAGGAGGAGTATGAGGAGGCTCAACTAAATAAATCAGTGACTTATTACTAAGTAACTCATCTAGTCTGGAAAGCTGGATCCCAGAGTTGAGATGATGGATTCAGAAATTACTAACATTTTTTAGTATGATAATAAAAAGCAAGTGTTAAAGAACTATCTTTAAGTCTGATAGTCTGGGAAACAAGGAGATCTGCAAAGCAGCTGTGGCGCTGATGAAAGAGGGAAGGGCCAAGAACCTGGACCAGGTGACAAAGGAAGGAAGGATGTGGAAGAGCCAGCATTAATAACAACAGTAGCACCCACTGTCAGCTAGGGATGCTTGTGACACTCTAGTCATATTTAATAATATATTTGGTTCTTATAACTATCCCCTAAAGTAAATATCATCCCCACTTTACAGGTGAGGAAACAGGGAGATAAACTAATTTTCCCAAAGAGCATAGCTATTAAGTGGTAGAACCAGGGCCGGAACCCAGGGCTGCCTACCACCAAAGGTCAAGCAGAACCATCCATCCTGCCACCAGTCCCAACTGCTAATAACTTGGGGGACACAAAAAATACTTGGTGGCAGAGAAATTACCTAGTCTGTGTGAGGCCCTGGGTTCACTCCCCATTACTGCACAGAAATAAGTGTCTGAAAAATGAAGTGAAGCAGTTGAAAGAGACGCTAAGATTTAAAGACGGAGCAGAAGGCAAACTTACGTTGCCAGTGTTACTGGGGTGGACAGAGGAGGGGAGAACAAGGTGGCAAGTCTAATCCTGGGTGTGCCAGATGGTAAAGTAAATGTTCCCCAGGAGGCGGAAATAGGGAAGACACAGCAGGACACCTTTAAAGCAGTGGCCCTCACAGCAAGCCAGTGGATCAGCAGTCCTGGGCCAGCATGCCCAAGTCCTCAGTGCACTGTGAACCTTCCACTGACAGGTGTACCTCCTGTGTGTGGCACACATGCTATTTGGAAACATGTATAAGACCTTCTTCTGAACTGAAATAAGAGGGCTCTCTTGCTCTGAACAGACATTACAGTTCTGAAGAACAAACAATAATCCATGCTATTTGGTGGGGGAACTGGGGATTGAACTGAGTTATATACCCACAGCCCTTTTTCCTTTTTATTTTGAGACAGGGTCTTGCTAAGTTACACAGTCTGATTTTGAACCTGGAATCCTTCTGCCTCAACCTCTAGAATCTCTGGGGTTATGGGCATTCCCCAGCCTGCCCAGTTGATACACACTTTTGAACTAAGCAAGTCAAATAAATACATTCCAGAGAACAGGCTGCATATCCCTATTCCCACTCCTCCTCCTCCTCCTCCTCCTCCCCAAACACCATTGACTTTGAACAGGTATTATGCAATTTGAGCACTTACTGGTCAATAGAATATAGTACTTTTTAGACAGAACCTAAAACAGAAGAAAACAATGAGAAACTACAAATGTA